CACCGGCACCGCTACGAGACCTTGTTAAGCATTCAAGCGTGCATACACATAGAATCTGCGAAACCCGTGCTTGTAAGCCCGTGGTCGGACTCGGATACGAAGACCCCGGATGCGTATCCGCCGCAACCGCGTTTGTAGACAACAAGGCGCCCTCGAGTACGCTCAATATAGAACGGATCTTGTGCCCACTCGGCGGCAAAGCTGCATTGCAAGACTGGTAGTAGTACCACCGCGGTCAGCGAGGTCCAGACAGCCCACAGAACCTCCACGGTGCGGGTGTCAGACATGGGCTAGCCCCGCTGCAAGTAACACAGGGAGCTCTGCATTCCCATCGTGCGGGGCAAGGTTCAAGAGGAGAACTCTGAACGTGGTGGCCGCGAAGGGGAGAGCGGTAGCAGAGCGCCTTCGGCCTCTGCCAGCGTGCCTTTTCGCACAGCAAAGGGCTTCGTGATCTCCGGATTAGCGTTGCGGGGAACAATCAGGCACAAGCCAGCAAATGCGCACTGGCGGGGAAGCTAGAGAACAGCATGACGAACATCCAGGCTGGTCGCTTGCTGGGTGTTCGATTCGGCTCATCGGGGTCGCCGCTGACCGGGTCTCCCTCACTCGTGTCATTGAAGGAGTCGCCGCTTGTGCACATTCATGGAACGACCAGGAACATGCCGCCTGCCCGGGTACGCACACAGGCCACAACGAGCGATCAAAACCGGACTCGGAATTTTGACAGACGATACGGGCGGTGCCAATACTGATATTGTTAGATTCGAACACACACCTGGGAAAAGGTCGCAAAGTCCGGCCTGCATGCCTGCCTGATTGCCTATCACTCCGCGCTCTCCGCGAGTCACGCGGGAGCCCCTGCGAGCTTACAAGTTCTTCGCGAGAGGACTGATCTGAGGCAGCCCGGGGAAGAATGAGGTCGGGATGGTCCTGTTGGGACACGACACGTCCATCAGCGACGAGATTCTTCGTCTGCAAAACGCCCAAAAAGCACTCACGGGGTCGGGATGGGAGAGTTCGTCGCAAACCCGTCAGTCAAGTCACCGGGCATCGTGGTCGGAGTCGTGTATCCCGCAGGGCGTGTCGCGCTCTGGGTGACGATGGCGTAGCTCGTGTGCGAGGACCCGCTGCGGAGGCACGACAGGCCTGTGCCGTACGCACTCTCGCACTTGATGACCGCCTCGTTCGTCTGGGACCACATGTTCACGTTCGAGAGTGTCATGTCGAAGCACGGCGCGCCGTCGGCGCAGATGAACTGGATCGGGGGACGCTGTACCCCATTTGCGACATTCCCGTCCCAATCCTGGTCAGAAGGACGGCATTCAACATGGGTGTGAGAGAAGCGCGAAGCATTGAGGAAACGCGACGGGCGTACCTGGAAGGTGATATTGGAAAGCTGAACGCCCGCCCCACTGCCGGGGGACTGAGACGACCAGTACTGGTTGACGTTCAAGCCATACGCCGTTCCGCGCGCGATGAAGTTCTGGAACAACACGTTGCGCACGTAACCGGAGCCCATGTTACTCTTGATCATGAACGCCTGGTTCCCGCCATTGGTATAGATATCACTGAAAGCCAAAAGTCGAGGCCGTGCAGCCATCGATCAGGACACGGTCAGACGATGGTGCACGAGGTGTATACTGACCGATACACGACGTCCTGGATAGCCGTTCCGTCAGACAGACTGCCGATTGCGCTGCCTCCGGATTGGTTACACCAAACTGCGAAGTAGTGGTCGCGTTAATGCATCGCTCTCTTGCAACATGGGGTGCACTCACTGCGCTCGACGAGGATATTGTTCGACGGGGACTATTGCCTTGTCAGTAATGGAGTCAGGATATAACAACGAGGGTATACGGGCAAACCTTAACAGTCACACATTCGTCCCGGTTCGTGACCTCGACATCATGAATCCAATAGTTCGAGCCCCAGACGTCGACACCATCCGATCCGCCGAGGTTCGCCCCTGCAATTCACATTGTCAGCATTCGCCGGAAATACCGAACGCCCTATCCATGCGGCGCCCTCATAAGGAGGGATATTCCCGTCATGAGTACATACCTCGGATAGCCATGTTATACACTTCGCCGTTGGAGCCCTGCTGAATGACGAGGTGGAACTCCGGCGCTATTCAGGTGCACATCAGACATCTCCGGTGTGAACGTGCCGCGTGCAGCACGGGGATAACGAGGCGGTGGACATACAGTCAACGAGGATGAGGTCGTGAAGAGACCAGTTCGTTGAGGTCACCATGCGAATGAGGCGGGGGCTAGAATGCGCGCGTGCGTTACACAGGCAGAAGAAAGGATATTGCGCCCAGAAGAGGTGGTACGTCAGTGTACTTCTCGGAGAGATACTAAGCGCGTGGTTTACCCGGCGTTGCGGCACTGGTATCCGTAACCTTGGATCCCACCCGCGCTGTTGGCGGAGTAGAATTCGAAGTCGTTCGCGTTCTCAATCGCGATCATGTTGCCGCCGGTCGTCGCTAGACATGGTCGAGGGATTAGAGTGTAAGGAATGAATCTAGGAGGGTAGAGTGGGCACAAGACAGCACTAACCTGCGCGTGTGATCAGTCCGTCCAGACGGAAGGCCCATTTGGTACCGCCGTTCAAAGTGACCCAAGTCTTCATATTGTAATTCCCTGGCGATCAATGAAACAATGTCAAGGGCCATCTCCGTGAAATTAAGATATCGACATACCAGCAGGAACATACAGCGTCGAGCCAGAATGCTTCAACACGCAATTCTATGGACAGAACCATGGGTTCATGACGGGCAGGCAAGATGACATATGTCGCGTACCGTGAAGGCGCTAGAGATAGCAGGTCCGATGTCAGCCGAACCAATGCTCCCGCCATAATCGAGCACATTGCATATCGTGCTCTGCTTAGACGAGAGCGAACTGGTAGGGCCAACCGGTCCGGACAGCTGGGCAGAGACAGCAGAGACCAAGAGCACAGACGCGATGAGAGACTTGAAACCCATGGTGAATTCAAGCGACAGAGCAAAAACCCACCCACCCAGCCCATTTTTATAGCCCATCGCTTAGAATTACCCGCCTGAGAAGCCAACATGGAGGCCAGCCCAAAAGTACGCACAGAAGAAACGTTGGAGAAAACGTCGGCTGAATTCACCAGGTCGCCTCTGATCCGCGTCCTACGTGACCGACACATCTCCGTCGCGCCGAACAGCTGACACGTTGCGAGGCTTTCGCAGCAGCGTATAGAACCCTTCTTGGTGTACGCAAGGGCTTCCAGGCCGACTTTCGGAACCGCAAGATGCCCCGGGACGCAGTATAACCGGAAACAGCCGGAGTGCCAGGTTGCCAGGTGCGCGGGAGGCATGACGACATAAAGGAAGAGAGAATCCGTGACATTGGAGAGTATAGCCCGGAAGCGAGACACATGAGGGAGAGCGCCATGAGGAGATGCGGATGAGATGCCGTTCTAGAGCTTGATTTCTTGCCAGCTGGACCAACACGCAGTAAGGGAGAAGAGTTAGAAGGGGCCGAAGGCCCGTTGGGCCCGTCGGGAGAACGCGAAGGCTGTGGCTTGGCACGCGTGCATATGACCCTATGTATGCACCAATGCCGCCCTCGCATGCACAAAACCCAGATGCACTGTTCGTGCGGAAGAGCGGCCCCTCCTTGAATGAGTACCTTGGTGATATAAGCACACTCAAGAATATAAGACATTGAAGCTGGAGAGGATTGCATTAGAGGCAGGTGACCGGAAGGAGGGGACATGTTCATGCTGTGAACGAACCTACTGCTCCTCAGCAGCAATTCTAGCGAGTACCTCGTGGAGGTATTGCAGGAGAGGATATCTTGGAGACCCGGACACAACCTACATCAACGTTCAGCTCCGGCCCGGGTCCTGGAGTTCCTCGGCGCGCATAGATGCACGAGATACAGCCGCTGACCATGCCTACTCCTTGCATAGGCAAGTGTAGGTTGGAAAAGTCGAGAAACACCCGTACGATGTTGATGAGCCATGCCACAGCTCCGTGTATTCCCATATTCCCAGCGCGTATTCCATGACCTCCTTGACGCTTGCGTACAAAAAACCAGCCCGCATTTCAATCGCGTTCCGAACGTTGATAGCAGAGGACAACTCGTTGAATCTGGCCAACTGAGTATTCCGTCTCTCTGGTTGAGGGCAAGCTTGCGGACGCGTACGACGTGTACCAGGTCGTGCTTGTTAGTGCACGAGACGCATGAATTGCGCAGAGACGCCAGTAGGAACTCCGCAGACATGACCGAAGGGGTTCCCTTGATATGTGGATGCGTACAAAGTGACCAAAGTATGATAGAATTTTGTGGCACATACCGGTGTCGCATGCTCGGGCATATTCTCAGACTCTGTCCCGTGCTTGATTGACGCCAATTCGGATGTTATGAGAGACTCCCCGGCATCCTCATATACTGACAGTGCGGTACCACTTGAGAATAGATTGGGTGTCTCCAGCACATTCTCCGTATTCATGCGTCTCTCGATGTGTATGGGTTGTCTGCGGTATGCGCCTTCTTGCACAACTACTGGTGGGCATAAACAGCTTAATGTTGGTAACGGAGTCATGTTATGAGAAGTCTCCACAACTCACGACTGTAGATACTAATCGTCGTCCCTCAAGGTTACAACTGAGGCACAGTGTAGGCACGTCACAAGCTTACAAGTCAGTGTGTATGCATGAGAGGATTGCTCGTGTCGCAGCCGCAGCGCCTTTCCTCGAGGAGCAGTTCAGTATCGGATAGTCCAGAGGTATACGTGTGACAAGCCAGGGACAATGGGCGAAACAGACAGTTGACTGGTGCCGGCGACGCCGCGACGGTGCAAAGCAAAAGGAGAGCTGTGATGGCGTCGTGAATTGTCTGTACAACCGTGGACATCTGTAGATAGATCTATAGCTTACTTTGCCATGTTTACTAATATGGCAGTGTAGCCAAGTGGTTACGGCGTCACGTTTAGGTCATTGAGACATCTCCGTGATGGGTTTCCCGCGCGAGTTCGAATCTCGTCACTGTCAGCTAAAATACCGGTACATTTTTGCACCGACCGTTTACGCCCATACATTAGTAAATGAGAACGAGTGTCAAGCCGTCGACCGTCTGTGTGCACTGGATGAAGCTTAAGCCACCCCACTTCCAGTACCCGTTGGACTCAGTGAACTCGAGCCTTCTTAGGATTCAAGTCGACCTTTGCCCTTGTCCCAGCGGTTGTCGTTGTCGCCCTCGTCACTACTGCCCTCCGCGCCCTTATCGCACCCATCTTCATCATCGTCGTTGCTGGCGACGTAGTCTTCGTATTCAGGCTCTACGCGGTCCGGATCCCACTCATCAGCCGCTCGGATCCGGACAGTCCCGTCGTCTGCACCTGAAGCGAGGAGCTCCCCGTCAGGACTGAACATCACTAGCGTCGCCTTGTCCTCATGTTCGGTGAACTTCGCCATAGAGACTGACTTCTTCAGATTCCACAAGCGCACGGAGTTGTCCGAGAGCGCTGCAGCGATGTATTTGCCGTCGGGCGAGAGCGACACAGAGAACGACACATGATCCTCCGCGGAGAAGTGGGTGTAGCACTTGCCCGTGTACGAGTCGCAGATCTTCACCATCGTGTCGCTCGACGCCGTCATGACGCGATTGCCGTCGCCCATGAATGCGACGCACCACACTTGCGTCTTGTGTTCATGGAGCCTGAGTAAGATCTCCCCTGTCTTGACGCTCCAGATGAGCGCGCTCGCGTCGTCAGAGCAGGTGACGATGCGCCTGTCCTCCGCATCGAAGTCGCACTGCCAGACCGGAGCCTTATGACCTCCAAGCGTCTTGTGCAGCGTGCCCTCCGCTACGTTCCACAGGAGACAGTTGTAGTCCGCGCCTCCAGACGCGAGCCAGCGGCCATCGTGCGAGAACTTGACGAAGGTGATCAACGCGACATGGCCATGCAGCTCGAAGAGCTGTTCGTATGTCTCCCCGTCCCAGATCCGTACGCTGAGATCGTCGGAGGCAGACGCGATCCGCTTGCCGTCCGCCGACCACTCCATGGCGCGGATCGTCTCCGTGTGGCCTTGCATCGTGGCGATCTCTTCCCCGGTATCGACATCCCATATTTTGATAGTGGTGTCTGCGCTTGCAGACGCAAGCCGCTTGTCGTCGGGCGAGAATTGGAACGACCAGAGGACGTCGGCGTGGGCATCCCACCTCCTAATCTCGGTCTGGTGCGAGGCTCTCCAAAGCACGGCAGACCCGTCATCGGCGCCGGTAGCCAGAAGCTTGCTATCATGAGAAAACATGAGAGCTGTGAGGGGACGCGGGTGACCAACTGCTGCTGGCTGGGACGGTAGTATGGGAAGTTTGGCTTGTCTGCGCAGTTCAGCCTCTTCCGGAGTCAGTCCCGTATCATCGTCCTTTGCATCTGTGTTAGGCGGGCCCGGGATAGGGGGTTTGACTGGCGGCAAGGCTGGCTGGCTCAGGATCGCGGCATCCTTCTGACTTGTTACGACCTGTGGCTGTTCTTGGCCCGGCTGCAACAAGACCATCCTTCCCAGGCTGGATCCCGCCTCCGCCGAGACTTGTAGATTGGTATAAGCTGCGACCTCGATGGTCCCGGCTAACCAAGCGTTAGCGAACAATCCACAAGGGGCTAATTGGGCGTGGATTTGGCGTACCTCCGTTCTCATCAATGTCGATGACGGGCTTCATCTCGTTGATTGCTTCTCGAACATCTTCCGGTAATGTTTCCTGCAGCGTAATGGTGCGTGAGTTAGGCGACAATGACAGTGAGAACGGCGGTGACCGTACACGAAATAGATCGTACAAGTCGGTATCGGATGCAAATGCGACTTCCGCTGATGAGTTCTTCGTGATGAATGAGTAACCTCAGCGAGTTTCGCATAAACGCGTAAACAGAGTGCATCACTCGCCTCCAAGATATAGTCTAGGAGGAAGTCGACAGGATCGTATGGCTGCGGAGAGACGTTCATATGGAGCCGAACCCTGAAAACATGGCTGATCAGTGCTGACCTTCCTGTCTGGCGCCTCTCCTTCGACGTCTGAATCGGATCCTGAGGAGACGCTTTCTGTTACGCCATCGTCACTGTCGTCCTGGTCTCCAGGCGGGAGATTCTGAGGTTCCGCCGCCGCTTGGATGATCTTTGGCTTCCACAACAGGCGTTTCTTCGCCTTGTAATAGTTGACGAAGATGCATTGGTCTCTCCTTGGAGGCGGCCGTGGAGAACCGCCCTCCTGTGACCCTGCCGTCAACTGCAACGGAGACTCATCGCCGTCCGATACCGTTGGGCCAAAGTTGTACTCCAGGCGAGTAGCATCCTCCGTACTGAGAGAGATCGACATGTTCAGTCCAGAGTTGACGACTTGCGCCTGTAGCGAGCCTTCTATGCTCTTAACGTTCCCCTGGAACGCGGCGCATGCCCACTTGGACGTCTTGACTGTCCCATAGACAAAGTAGAATTGGTCTGCGTTGAGCATCATACCATGCTCGTCGTTGGCGAACTCCAACCAATGGTCGAGGTTGTCACGCATGTACCGAACGATCGCGCGCTTGCTCACCAGTTTCATACACACGGCTGGAGGTGTGTGAAGGAGGAACGCGCCGGTGTTCTCCGACGACGTGAACTTCAAGCCTCCTCCGGCAGTAACCATACCGTCGGGACTGTGTATAATGAGCCATTAGCGATATGCAAAGACGACTAGGGGACGCACCTTGCCGCGTTCAAGTCAGCAGTGATATTGCCGTGTTTCACCGTCTTACTGGAGAAGAGGTTATTCTGGATCTCCCACGGTCCTTGGACCATAGATTTCGGGGGGTTAAAAGGCTCGAAATTACGGGGTACGCCATGCTTCTGGTACGGATCGTTCGCAGGCTTCATGGCGTTGAACAGTAACCAGAGCTTCCCCGAGTCGAGGCGGCCGACGGTGCCGATTTCGACTTCATACCTATGGTTTTCTGGCTCTGCATCCCAGAGCGGATATCCACGCTGAACGACAAGCAGCTGGCGACTGTACACTTCGTAGAGAGGAGGGGGAAGCGGCGGCATCGCAGTGGGTGACCAGTGAGGATCTTACGGGGCGAGTGCAGAGGCCAGTGGGACGCCTATGCAACATCCTGGTCGAGGGTAGGTACTTGGGTCATGCGAACATTATCGGTAATCGCCGCACCGCCGACAAATATCAGCGTGAGAGTCTGCCGATGGTCACATAGGGCTGACTGAGTAGCTGGAACTTGGGTCTATGACGCCTTACTTCCGATCTCCACGAGCCTGAAAGCAAAGTATCAGCACATACAATGTCAATAATGGACAGTAAATGCCTACATTGGAATGTCCCTACTCTTGCTCGATGACATTGCGAGTATGCGATGTTTAATCCCGCTGGATCGTTGAACCCATTGAATCCGGTCTCATCTGACTCGCAGTCCGCTATATGTGTTCAGCATCGACGTCTGTCTGTTCGGAGAGTTGAAGGGGCATTCAAAATTACCCATGCACTTGTATCACGCGCATGGTCAGGGAATGAACAAGGTGTGGCAAGCTAGTCTCCGGAACTTCGAGCTCAAACACGACTGTCGGAGTGTCAATATTTCAAACATCGTCAATATGAGCGCTAATACGAAGCTCAGCTGCTCACCGCGTCCTGCTAGTACTACTGTAATTGTTTGCACTGCACGGCAATGTCACCATCGGACGTCCCTCAGTGTAAGCATCCTTCAAACTCTGTCATATTGATAATATGGTATTATTATACACAGCGTATGGGGATGCCTACGTTGCCGCAGGGTTTCTGACCGCATCATCACAATAGGCAAGTTAGCGTGAGTGCTCGGATTTAGTACTACGGCAGAGCGGATGCCCGCATTCTTTTCTTACTAGCGACGAGGCGTACGAAATGTTAGGTATACAGAAATCTTTACTTCTGCAGTACTGACCTCTTCCTGGTAAGTCATTGGATCCGCCCAAAAATCGCATAGCGAACAGAACAACGTCAACTCATCACGATCGGGATACGTATTACAAAGGATAGGTGACGGGGCCAACGGGGGAGAACGGTAATATGGAACAACCGACTCTATGCATACCCCACCGCAGCTTCTCGACTCCATTCCAACCTCGGATTCCTCTCCTCCCGCCGTTCTTGCGCTCCGAACTGCGTGTGAGGCGAGTGAAGGGAGCCCAGTGGCTTGCACGCTTAGGCATAGGGCAAGACGGTGGTGATGACCTCCTCGGATGTGATCGTCGTCGTGATGAACTCCTCCCTGACCAGCGTCGTCGGCACGACGGTGATCGTGCTCACGACCGTGCCCGACTTGGTGACGTGGGTGCCGATGGTCTCGGTGACGAAGGTGGTAAAGAACTCGGTCTCGACGGTGGGGATGGCGACATCGGTGGTGATCACAGTGGTGACCACGTCTTCGGCCGGGGCAGCTGCGGCTGTAACAGAAGCAATGAGAACATATACCAGGGAGCTCACAGTGGCCGACGCGTACCCTGAGCAACGGCGAAGGCGGCAAGAACGAAGGTAATAAGGTGCATCATGCTGTCTGCGAGTGTGAAACTAAGTTGTAGCGGCTGTTTTCGCAGTGGGGACGATGCAGAAGAAGGTGGGATTGAGGTGCGGTCCTCACAGCTGGTTGACAGGCTTTTTATACCTGATCCATCCGCGCTTTGTCTAGGACCATGCGGTTCCCACCCTGGAGACAACTAGGCGACGCGACTGGCAAGCGAAGGAGCGCCGTGCTAGTCTGCCATGCCGGCACACTACTGCACGGGCGATGGCTCGTCCACGCCTCATGCGCGACACTGCGAAGCCGCTCTTCTTCGTCCCCTGGCTGCGCAAGAGATAAGACCGTTCGCAACTGAATGAATTCTTGGCCGTTCATCCGGCATGTGGCGAGACACCCATAAGCCAAATGCTTGATGCGTACGGTCCCATGATAGACAATTTCATATTGAGTGGCACATCGCATCCTTCATACTCATGCGCAGTTCTGCCTTTCCATCGTAACGGTCAGTGT